TTCATCTCTCAGCCATGTTCCCATTCCTCTTCTCCCTCCTCTCTTCTTTTCAAACAGCATTTGGTGGGTTTCACTATGCTGTTATAACACAGAACACATAAAATATCCTTGGACCCACTTTGTCCCTCAGTACCTCCAGAGACAATCACTGTTTTATCTCTTGACACATTACCATTATTATTATTGTCATTGTCATTTAGGTCTGTACTCTGCAAATAAGAATATTAGATATTTGACTTTTGAGCTTGACTTACCCCAGTTCCATCCATTTCCTGCATATTACATTATTTTTTTCTAGCAAAGTAATATTCTATGGTGTGTGTGTGTGTGTGTGTTTAATTTCTTTATCCATTCACCAGTTGTTAGGTCCCTTGGCTGATTCCATAGTTTGGCAAGACTCACATCTTTTCCTAAAATATGGACTCTCCTTGGTTTTGGCAGTCAGTCACTTGCCTATGATATGTATAGGCATGAACTTGTTCTATAGCCTGTATTTCTTTCAATATTTTGCCTGTTCTATTATTGTCTCCTCAGATTCCTATTGCATGTATGCTAGATAGTATAGGTTGTCATAGTACAGGTCTCATATACTTATTTTACTCCATTTTTCTTCCTCTGTCTTCTTTGGACTGAATACTTTCCTTGTTTTAACCTATTAATTCTTTTACTGATATTTTATATTTTCTGAATTTTTATTTTTGATATATTTTTCGACTCCAAAATTTCCATTCAGTTTTTTATCCAGTTTGTATTTCCTTATAGATATATACTTTATTTACAGAGTCTTATAAAGTATACTATATATATAGATATGTACTTTATTTACAGTTTTCTCTTTCATTTGTGTGAACATAATTTCAAATATTACAGCATATTTATAATAGCTGAATTATTTATAACCCATTTGTAAATCCAGTATATTGACCCACTCATAGTTTTTATTAATAATATTTTCCCCTAATATGTGTAATACTCTGGTTTCTTTGCATGTCTCTTAAATTTCTTTGAAAACTAAACATTTTAGCTAGGCACTGGTCACTCATGCCTATAATCTTAGCTATTTAGGAGTCTGACATCTGAGGATCATAGTTGGAAGCCAGCCTGGGCAGGAAAGTTCATGAGACTCTTATCTCCACTTAACCACTTGAACACATGCATGTGTGCACACCCACACCCACATCTATCCACCCTCCCCTGCCCCCTCCACACACAGCTGGAAGTGGAGCTGTGACTCAAGTGGTAGATCACTAGCCTTGAGCAGAAAAGCTCAGTGCCCAGTCCTTGAGTTCAACCCCTAGGACTGGCATGCACACATGCTCATGCACACACACTCATGCACATGCATGCGCGTGCGCGCGCACACACACAAAGAATAAAATCTAAACATTTTGAATAATATGGTAAATTCTGAATTCTAATATTTTACCCTGAAGATTGCCTGTTATCATTGTAGTTTTTTTAGTAGCTTTCCTAGGCTTTTTTAAAAAAATTTATTTTATTTTATTTGTGAACGCTTTACTAGGCTTTTAAAAAAAGTTTTATTGTTGTCATAAAGGTGATGTACAGAAGGGTTACAGTTATATAAGTCAGATAAAGGATACATTTCTTTTTGAAATGTAATCTCTTCCCTTGTTCTTTCTTAGTTTTTCCCTCCAGTCCTCATATACAAGTTGTATAGTTAATTTTCAACATGGTGTCTAATAAGTAACATTGCTGTATTTGTTCACCCTTTGTCCCTTCATTCTGTGCCCCCCCCTGCCCTCCCAAAGACAGATAAAGGAACAAATAAGACATAAAGAAAATGAAACAGCAATAAAGAAAAAGGGCTCTTATTTCCATTTCCTGGAGTTCATTTTGATAAATATTTTATATGATCAGAGGCATGTAGGTATTGTGGGCTCCTCCCCTTAGCAGCCTCCTTTGGTCTCACTGTTTGAGAATTACTGGAGGTTCCTATTCTTTATCTGCAGAATTTGTCCTGCCTATTTCCTTTTCTTCTTTCATTTTCTTTTTCTTCATTTTATTTCTTTTTTTCCTTTATTCCTTTTTCCTTCTTTGTCCTTTTCTTCCCCTTTCCTTCCTTCTTTCTGCCTTCCTTCCTTCCTTCCTTTTTTTTGAGTTGGAGTCATTATTGCTCAAACTGGTGGGCTCAGCCTCTTAAACATCTGATACTTCAGGTATGTAGTCTCATACTTTTCTTTTTCCACTTTTAATTCTTTAGCCTTTCTTCCTCAGGTCACTGTATAGCTTAGTGGTTAGCCAATTATTGGACAGAGATTGTGCTCAAATATCCTAGTACTATAAGCCTTCTTCCGTTTGCATAGTATGTGGGTAGTGATCAAATCAGCCTTGGCTGTTACTTCTCAGCAAACTTTGTGTCCCCCCTGCACATGGGCATAGTTCTGATCAGCCAGGATGCCTGGAGAACCTTTCTCAGACTGCCTGAATTCTAGGATCCCTATTACACTTCTGGCTTGTCTGCTGATGGCCTCAATTGGCCGAAAATCTTCTGGTCAGCAAAGCTGTGCTTCTCTTTTTTCATTTAGAACCTAGTTTGTGATTTTTATTGACAATGCTGCTGAGCAATAGTTTTCACCATCTGCTGCAGATCAAGGCAGCCTCTCTGGCAGCCTAGCTGCTGGCTCTCAGGGCCCTCCTGGCTCTAGTAAAGTCCTCTGTTGATGGAGCATGGAAAGGTGTAGGATGTCTTTTTAGGCAGGCAGGCTATAAATTCACTCTGCTTCTAATTTGAAATTCTGAAACATCATGAATTTAACAAAATTTTTGTTTGCTCTTGGTGATTTCTATAGCCTGGAAATGGTTTATTTTGAGTCATTTGTTCAGTTTTATACTTATTTATGGGAAGTCCTCTTCATTCTGTTATAAGTGAAAATTTACTCCTATCATTATTTCCTTATAAAGCTTTTCTTAAGCTGGTGGCACCTGCCCATCATTCTAGCTATTCAGGAGACTGAGATCTGAGGATCGTGGTTGGAAGCCAGCCTAAGCAGAAAAGTCCCCATGAGATTCTTACCTCCAATAAACTACTTTAAAAAGCCAGAAATCATGCTGTAGCTCAAGTGGTAAAGTGCTCACCATGAGCACAAAGAGGCCCAGGGACATTGCCCACGCCCTCAGGTTAAGCCCCGGGACCAGCAAAAACAAAACAAAACAAAAACAAACTATCCACAAAAGCTGAGAACAGTGGTTCAAAATTCCAGTTGCTTCGGTGGGTTATATGTTCAAGACCAGCAGAGCGAAAAAAAGTTTGCAAGACTCCTCTTAACCAGTACAAAGCAGGATGCATGCAGTTGTTTCATCCTAGCTATATAGGAAATAGAAATAGGAGGATCAAGACCCATGTCAACCCCTGGGAATAAATGTCACATCCTATCTGAAAACTGACTACAGCCAAAAATAAACAGTGGCATGGCTTAAGTCACAGACCACAAGTGCAAAATCCTGAATTCAAAGTTCAGATCTTCCTTCTACCCCCAGGAAAAAAAATGATGTGTCACTCAGTTTAAGATAATCATACTGAGACATATTTATATAATTTTTTTGCAGTACTATATTTTTTGTGCTTATAATTCCAGCTACTTAGGAAGCAGAGATTGGTAGGATTGTATTCTAGACCAGCCACAACAGGAAAAAAAAGATTTCTAGAGGCACTACATGGGAAGAAAGAATGTCAAGAATGCTAAAAATTCCAGATCCCTAAAACACTCAATGTCACCAATGCAAGTAGAACGGTGTATTTCAGTCATTGTAAATAGGTACATGTATATGCATGCAAATATGATGAATGCTTGAAACTGAGACAGTAGTGACAATCACTACTTTCAATAAGAGCCGTTTCCCAGGAGCACTTCTAATGAGTTCAGCTTTTTCATAGGCTGACCAAGAAGAAAAGCCAAGAGAAGCAGCTGGGCTGACCCTAGTCCAAATTCAGTTACAAGCCTGTTTTATTTGGCCTATCCCTTCCTTAAAAAAAACTTATTCCAGCATTTAAATCTAAGAGGTTTTACATAAACTTCTAGTTCCCTAAGTCATGTGGACAAATGGGAAGCTCTCACATACTGGACCTATGTTCCCAGTTAACACATTTGCGTGGTTCAAAGTAGCAAGCCTGACCTTGGATGGTAGCCCTCTCAAATTCACCATGGTCTATCACTGCTGGTGTGTTGAAATGACTTTTCCCCTGTAGGTCACCTGACTAGATTTTATACTTATTTAAGTTTGTTGTTATAGAATTGTTAATTCACAACATAGTTGGTAGATTTGTCGTCAATAATTATTTTTGTGTTTGTAGATCACATGCACAAATTACTTACTACAGAGACCATCCTTGGGCTCCCCATTGTTTGCTGAATGCTTTTACTGTACCTTTTATCCAAATATTTTCTTAGAAGTGGAGTAGGTTATATCATATGGGATTTTAGCTTCCAGAAATAGCCATATAGACATTGAGACACGTCACACAGTAGAACTGTGTATTTCAGTCATTGTAAGAGAGAGAGAGAGAATAACTTAAATATTTCTGTTATTCCCCCACCCCTTACCTCACAGAAACTGAACCCATTAGAACTGGCTGAAACAATGAAATGTTGGCCAAATTTGGGTTTAAAAATATGCAAATGAATTTAGTTCCTTGATCATTGACAAAGAGATGAATGAAAGATGATCAAGCTACTAGGCTTCCTGGGCATCCTTGAAAGAAAACTAATGACAAACAGTAATCCAAGAGGGAACTAATAAAATTTATATTAGTGTTCCTGCCATGTAAACAAAAATGTGTCTTATTGTACTTGACAATACTATTTGTCAGTGAATAGCTCATCACCATCCTCTTGTCATGTCTAGACTATAAATTGTCTTTCAAAGTAGAACCTGTGCGTTAATCAATAGCTTCAAATTTTAAAAGAGTAAAGTGGATTATTTGTTTTAACTTTTTCAAGTAACTCACAGAGAAAATCTAGGACCAATTCTGATTCTTACAGGAACATCCAATCCTTGGGCAACCCTTTTTTGTATTACATCCCTGCAAGACAAATGAATTCATGACTCCTGTATTAAAGAATTCACAGAAAATCAATAGGTAAGAAACACCTTAAAGACACATTGGTCTCTGCTCTGATTTTAAAACTGTAAATCTTTTTATGCAGGTCTAAAAGCTAAGTGAAAAAAGAAATATTCTTTGTAATAATAACAATGGCTACCATTTATTGATTTTTTTATGTGGTAGGTGCTATTCTAAGAGTTTTAGATATATAAATGCATTGGATGTTTATAAGGTCCCCAAGAATACTATTATTTTACACAGTTTACAGAGAATGCAGCTAAAGCTCAGAGGAGTTAAAAGACTCCACCAATGTTACACAGCTAATTAATGATACAACTGGGATTTGAACCCAAGCATTTTTGCCTCAGAAACATGCTCTTTAACCACTGTTGACCTATTATAATAATACTATAAATTTCAAATATAAAATTTGAGTCATCAATGCAAGTCAGGAGCTCCAGTATTACATTTCCCTTCAACTACCTTCAAGAGATACTCATATTTTCTCTGAAATGGAAATTCTTTCCAAGCAATGAGGCTGCTATTTAGAAATGCAGGAAAACCAGGTAGGAATACATCTTGTATCACTGACTGATGAGAAGTTCACTATTCATCCAAAAATTATGATGGAAGCATTTATTTGTATTGCTATGTTTCACTTACATCCTAGGAATGTCAACTATATCACATCATGGCTGAGCATTGTAGGGCCAGTCATTGGGCTGAATCTCCCTCTGAGTTATGCCAGAGCAGCTTCTCGGGATGAATGACATATTGACAAGGTAAAAAGAAAAGCTTAAGACTTCATGTTTTAGTGTGTGATCATATGTTGCCATTGAACTTAGATACTTCCCTCTTCTATGGTAACCTTGCATTCATCTTAAATGGGCTAAACCCTGGTTTGTGTTTTAGTTTTCCAGTAATATCATAACCCAGTTATTTGGGAAGCATTTTCCTTTGCTGTAAATAACATTCACTCAGCTAAAGGAGGGGGCAGTTAGCATGGATATTCTTGATGAAAGGCTTTTTGCTCAGTCAAACTACTTTTATTCTATTGACTTTTATTTTGTTGTTCTTCTCAGATCTTCTGTTGAACTTAGCAGCTATGAAATGAAGACCAAGAGATGGCTGTAGTAGAGCACTTGCCTGACCAAGTGCTGGGTATTCCAAAACCAGTACTGCCACAAAAATGTTTGATTAAAAAATAGAACACCCCAGACTTTACCTGATTTTTGTTTGTTTGGTCTTTTTTGCTGGTCCTGGGCTTGAACTCAAGGCCTGGGCACTGTCCCTGAGCTTCTTTGTGCTCAGGCTGATGCTCTACCACTGGAGCCACAGTGCCACTTTCAGCTTTTGCTGAGTACTTTATTGGAGATAAGAGTCTCACAGACTTTTCTTCTCAGGCTGGCTTTGAACCATGATCCTCAGACCTCAACCTCCTGAGTAGCTAGGATTATAGGCATGAGACACCAGCACTCAATGAGTTTTTCTGTTTTTAATGAGATGAATACTAAACATTTCATGATGTGATTCTTTTTCCCCAAGGAATAAACCATCTACAGTGTTGTAATATGATAACAAATGACATTATTAGTCCACTTGCAGTTTTTTTTTGTCCTGGGTCAAGCATTTTACATTTCTTCTTTTGATATGGATACTGATTGATAAAAAAATGTGTTCATTTTAACATAAAATATATGAAAATTAAAATATAAAATGTATGTGTCCCTGGAAACTAATGTTGTAATCATGTCCAATATTAAATTATTCTACCACAATCACACTCTGGGTGCAATAGATTAGTTCTATTTTATTTTACTCTAAAAGAAAGAGAGTGAGTATACCCAGGCTGAAGGAGATAAATAACATGAAACCTTCAGTACATGAGAAAATATTGTGAAGTATTATTATACAAATAGTCATTAAATGCTCACTTTTCTTAAAATTGTTATTTTATTCATTCAATCAGTAAATAAACTTAATAGCTAGCAAGATAAAATTCACCTGGAGGAATTATCTATTTTGGTTTCTTGTTTTGTTTTTCATTCTAATTGGTCAGAAGCATAAACCAAGAGAAACTAAGAGAAAAAAATAATTGGCTCTTTAGAGAATCTAGATTCATTTCTTTGAATGAAGGATATACCTGAACTACCTGAGGTTTTACAGGCTCAAACATTAAGACCACTCAGAAACATCCTTTCTATGAGCTGATGTTCATATTCCTTACAGAACCTCTGGTTTTGGTCTACATTTTAGTGTGACATCAAATTGGGGGATGAGGTAGGCAACAAGCCCTTTACAATTCTATGCAAGGTGAACTTAATGTGTGGGCATTACAGATACTCTAAATGTAGGAGGCTATCCCCTGGTAAACCTATTGTAAGCTGATAATGACATAAATTAAAAATGCATCCAGGGGCTGGGAAGGTGGCTCAGTGGTAGAGCGCTTGCCTTGCATGCCTGAGGCTCTGGGTTCCATTCCTCAGCACCATATAAGCAAAAAGAAAAAAGCCGGAAGTGGCGCTGTGGCTCAAGTGGTAGAGCGCTAGCCTTGAGATGAAGAGCTGAGGGACAACACCCAGGCCCAGAGTTCAGGCCCCACAACCGGACCCCCCCAAAAAAATGTATCCAATACACCTAAACTACTACACATACTAAGTTAGCCTATTCTACCTTAAACATCCTCAGAACACTTTCATCAACCTTCAGTTTGACAAAACCATCTTATACAAAGCTTGTTTTATTAACAAAGCATTGGACATCTCACATATACACATAGATTAGGCATTTTGTTGATGTTATATGTGAAAACACAAACCCAATATCCAAAAAACCCTGACAACACAATATACCATGGAGTATAAATTTTCTGCCTTACTATCATAAGAGATCTTGCTACTGCCATCCAGTGTCATGAGAGAGTACTGGATCACTTACCACTGTGCACAAAAAGATCAAAATTTGAAATCTGGACTATGGTTTTACTATGGTTGAACTATTGTAAATCAGAAACTATACATGGGATATAAGAATATTAAAGCCTTTAAAAAAAAAACAATATAGCTGCTACAACTTTACTGTGGTTTTTCTGTGGTTTGTCCCTTCTGAAATTCCTATTGAAATTTCATTCCCAGATGGTGTTGAGAAGTGGTAAGACCTGTAAGAGATGATACCATGTTGTGGAAGATTAATTCAGTTGTCTTAGGACTAGATTGTTCTTTCAGGAGTGAGTTTTTGTATATAAGTTTTTGTATATAAGTTCCCAGTTTTTGTATATAAGTTCTACACGTGCTTTCTGCCATGCATTACAACAGCATGATGCCCTTTACATATGCAACTGCTTGATCTTGGACTTCCCTGCCTCCAGAACCATAAACCAAAATAAACATTTTTCTTTATGAATTACAGTCTCTGGCCTTTTGTTATTGTAACAGTGCTACTTATGGTATCCAGTGATGGATTTATGAAAGACAATCACAGAGTTTAGAGTGAGGTGATTGTCTGCTGGTTAATCTGAGAGACCATGAGCCGCACTCCTGGTATATATTGAGAGGCTCAGAATCCTTAGAGAGTGGAGGTAAAGAAAGGGTTAATTCAAATTGCTAGAAAAGCTGAAAGTAAATTTTAAAATGCTGAGCCACATATATTCATGCTAGGATAAGAGGCTGGTTATATGCTTGCTGGGCATTTTGGGAGTTACCACTTAACATCTTTTCAACTTTTACAAGAGAATCTTCCTTCCCCTCACTCTCCCTAATGTAAACATAGATTTCTCAGCAAATCATTTCCCAAGCCAGCCAAGTCATTGTGTGTGTGTGTGTGTGTGTGTGTGTGTGTGTGTGTGTGTGTGAGCGCACCCATGCAATGTGTCATCCAAACTGTACTTTTCTGGAGTTATTTTTTACTAACAGATGTTGAAATGATAACTATAGGTTTTGGACCAGTTTAATTTTTTAAAAGGAATATATATATATATATATGTTCCTGATAAGGACTTAAAACTTCATTTTTGGCAGTAAAACATTCAGAAGAGAGCATGTACATATTAAATATCAACACATCAATCCATCTCCTTAGGCAACTCTCTTTTCAGATTTTTTTATTTTATTGAGAAAACATTTTGGCTAATAATTCCCATTTTAGGCTAGGAATGTTAGGCTGGGAATGTGGCTTAGTGGTAGAGGAGTGTTTGCCTAGCATGCATGAAACCCTGGTTTTCCCTCCTCAATACCATATAAACAGAAAATGCTGGAAGTGGTGCGTGGCGCTGTGGCTTATGGTAGAGTGTTACTAGCCTTGAGCACAGAGAGGCACAGGTACAGTGCCCAGGCCCTGAGTTCAAGCTCCAGGCCTGGCAAAAAACAACAAGAAACATTTTAAAAGTGCAGTTAAGCCGGGCACCCATGGCTCATGCCTTGTAATCCTAGCTACTCAGGAGGTTGAGATCTGAGGATCACGGTTCAAAGCCAGCCCAGGCAGAAAAGTCTGTGGAACTCTTATCTCCAATAAACGGGAAGCAGTACTGTGGTTCAAGTGGTAGAGTACTAGCCTTGAGTTGAAGAGCTGAGGGACAGCACCTAGGCCCAGAGTCAAGTTCCTCGACCAACAGCAACAACAACAAAAAAGTGCAATTATACTAATAGATGGTGCCCTAATAGCAATTAAATAGTAGAAAATCTTTATATTAAAACATATAAAACATGAGAAATAGTTCTTTTTTGGGGGGAGGGGGTCTGGTCGTGGGGCCTGAACTCTGGGCCTGGGCGCTGTCCGTCAGCTCTTCAGCTCAAGGCTAGCTCTCTACCACTTGAGCCACAGCAACACTTGTGGCTTTTTTTTTCTGCTTATGTGGTGCTAAGGAATCGAACCCAGGCCCTCATGCATGTAAGGCAAGCGCTCTACCACTGAGCCACCTTCCCAGCCCCCGATAAATAGTTCTTTGTGATATGAGGGGCTATATTTCCTTCTCAGGTACTATAAAGGAATGAACTTTCAGTCAGAAATAAGGCCACTTCTGCTGCTGCTGGAAAAGTTGCTTCAGTTTTCTCATTTGTAGGGTGAGGAAACTCACCTTTTATGTTTCCTGAGGCCATCCTGTACTTAGGTTTGGGGGCACAGGCTGAGTTGGAGGTCTAGACTATAAGTTTGGTGAGCTGCTAGCTGTGTGACCTGGGCCAATTTTCTTTATCTCCTTTTTCATACTAGTTCTATAAAACAAAGGCCACAGTGCCTGTCACACTTACCTGACAAAGACAGAGGGGAGATCAAAATCATACATAAAACCAAATATGCTTTATAACCAGCAATGCTGGAAGAAGTAAGAACTGATTATAGATAACGGATACCAGTACCTACTCCTAGTCACCTCATTGCAGCCGTAGCCACTGATGGGCTCTGGAGTCCCCAATCCCCACATCTACGTGTTGAATGCTCATCTGGTGGATGCTGGATCCTGCCTGGGAAGTCTTCCTCCCCAATGCCTCTCTAACTTTTAACCTGTTCTATGAGATTTCCTTGTCTACAAAGCCATTTCTGACCCCACAACTGCCAGCTATTGTTACTCACTGTATTGTTCATTGGTTCTGCTTTACTCTGGCCCATTTCTTTTTCCCGCCTCATTTCCACATCCTGGAGTTAATTTTGATAAATATTATCTTATATGATCAGAGGCACATACACATTGCACTTTTGTGTTCCTTCCAGAAGTATCCTCCTCCTGGCTCCTTTCTTGAAGGTTCTCCTCTAGGAGGAATAAAGAACACTTTGACCAGAAGGAGTAGCAGTGGCTATGTGGATCAACAAGTACTATCCTATAGGTTAGAGGTTAAAAAAAAAAAAACCTTTCCTTTGATAAAAACTTAAATCTAAACTCAAGAGAAAAGGGTTAAAAGTTTTCTTGGACATTTCTTCCATGATAGGTTTAGTTGCTTTTACTCATAGTCCCAAGATAACCAAGGCATGAGTGCTACACTGGCAAAAGCAACTTTACATAATTTACAGAGCTAATATTCCAGGGAAGTTTTTAATTTGATAGTAAAAATTTGTGAGCTAGGAAGATGAAAATATCCTTTTATTTATCCTATCTTAGTCTTATGAAAATTCTTATTTATTGAGCACCTCTGGTGTGCTAACCTGGGCCAGATGACAGGGAGAAAAAACAGGAGATATGATCCTAGATCATAGAATGCTATAGTCCAGTGGAAATAGAAAGAGGTTCAAGGGAAGGGTGCC